TTAAATTAAATTAAATTAGTAACTTAAGTCAACTTTTATTCTCTAAATAAGAAGTCATGCATAATAAACTAGAAAGAGAACAAAGGAAGAATTCAAAAGTAAGCTGCAAACTAGAGCGTCTTATCTTGCATTTATGATATTACTTTTCCAAGAACTGTATAGTCCAATTAGTAATGCAACAATGGTGGAGTGGTGACAACAACTAAAGAATATGAATACCCTTTTGGGTTGATGAGCAAATGAGATCCACATAGGACCATATTGAGAAGCAGTGCACTAGTGCTCGTGCTTCCTTTTCCAAATCACTTAACAAAGGCCTAACACACTTTTCAAGCTCACTCCCAACACCTGCAAAGCCGACTAACTTAGTGCTGAATACATGCCAGCCTAAGTCCAGACAAAAGATAGCTCTTCCTATCATATTTCAACAAAGATAAATGAGACAGCAATCCAATATCCAAAACCACACACTTTAGCGTCTAAGGAAACCATAACTACCGCATATTGAACATGTTACCTGTTTTGGTGTCATGCTCATGACTATTTACATACAAGAAAGAAAACACTAAAGTAAAAATCTAATACAACACACAAAAGAAAAAAAAACACAGACATGTGTACAAGAATAGGAAAGGCAATATATCAGAAGCAACAACACACGCAGCCAAGTATATATGTAGAAATGCTGCTCTCGTGATTCAATTAGCAGAAAATCACCCACACCAAACATCTTACAATAAACACACAAGCAAATGTCTTAATAAGATATATGCCCTTCACGTTACTTACAATCTTGAGATTGGTCCACTAGATTTTTGTTGGACACTCGTACCGATCATGTTTTCCATATTATATTTCTGCAAAACCAAAATGACCAAGGAAGAAATGAAAAGATTAAGCATCCAGAAAATGTAGATATTGCTGATCTATATGAAACATCCTACTTTCAATTTCAGGGAGTTCAAAATGATTCTGTTCAAATAATGTTTAACAGTTAAATTAAATGCGATTATGTGTAAATTAATGAACAGGCTAGAGAGAAGCCAGCAGAGTAGGCTCACCTAAAAGATATGAAATTCCATACTTTATATTTCTGAAATGAAAAGTTAGTTAGTAACAGCAGTTATGATAAGGAATGATGGAAACTAAGTAACTACCCTCAACCCAACAGGTCCATGTATGTTACAGCAACAGCTATATAAGTAGCAAATAATGAAGATTCGTCTACGTTGATTCGCTGGCTCAATCATTGATCAAATACAGTAATACAAATGATGCAAAGTTCCTATTCCATGAAGAAGTTCTTTATCTTAAATCAGCTTATCAGAATGTACGTAAAGTATATGAGGTCTACAAAACAAGTAAAGAACCAGAATAATGAATTTAACCATTTAAATATGGGTGGTCTTTTGCATATAATGATATAAATAAGTAGAAAGAAGCAGAATTCAATCAAATAGTCGGGTCTAAAAGAGGTTCAATTAGACAATGGATTCAAGGCATTAACAGAAGATGAGTGTGCACATGCCTTCCACAGAAATAAAGCAAAATGCAATTACAAAGGGAAAAAAAAAAAATTGTAATTATAGATACGAATTCCTCAGATTTTGATCATCAAATAGCATGTGAGAGTGCAGATCACGTTGTGCTTACGATTCAAGCATTTTTCAAATCATTTTTAATTGTAACCATGTGGCTTGGAATGATGATTTCAGAGAGGGCTTATTGCATCGATGCACTTCTTCTGCAATCCTCACATGAGCCTTCCATTTTTTATGCAAATTTCTATGCCTGCAAACAATCTCCATCTGCATTGCTGAAATCAAGGAAATTAGAATTAAAACAAAACCCTCAATTAAGGAAAAGGGTCAAAAATCCTAATTCCTATGCTAATTACTTGGAATTCAGATGTGAGGCAGTTTTCATCCCCTCACTGAATTGCTAAGGTGGTAGAGAAATCCCTCTGTTTCCCTCCTAACATTAACTACTACTCATTGTTTTCTGTCTTCTATCAGTTATAAAAATGATATGCTACCAACTGCCAACACAGGGGCAGAGCACCGATTAGATGAAATGCACAAGCCTTGGTTATTGGGGTATTAATATCAACCTTTCCAATTCACATTGGCTTCTCTTGAGTCTTAACTACTTTGATCGTGGCTACTTCA